TAACACAGAAAATACCTCCCCAAAACGCCTCGTTGGAGATTCGTCACTGATACGTCATTGTCCAATGTTTCTTCCGGGTACGGCTTAACGTCATGCGGTACCCGCAATATCAAGCCACACTTATTGTTTTTACTTCGGCTGTGAGTTTGTGTGTGCTCAGGATGAGTTTGGCTGTGTTTGGCTGTGTATCGCTAAACAAGGAAACCACACCTCCACGGAGCTCAGCGCGATTCACAACGTCCCGACCAATCAGAGCACACTGGGCTCACAGGGAGGGTGGGGGCTGGAGCTATTGGAGCTCCAACGAGCCGTTAAAGGCAGAGAGTGAAATTCAGTGAATACACGTAGTTTACAGAGATGCTGTATGAGAAACCAATGTGAGTTTGGAAAATTGCACAATATAAATCTATTCTAGTAGACCTCAACAATGGAATTATGATCAGTGGAAATGGCCATGACATGGGCCCTTTAAACAAATATATAGCTCTACACCCCAGGCCGAAATGTCCTTAAAATGAAGTCCGAGTTCGACATTTTAATTAATGTCCTGCCAACACTGGCAGGACAGAAGGCGACACGCCCGTTCTAAGCCGTGTCCCTCACTCCTCACATCCCAAGCTGCATCCCCAAAAAGTGTATTATGTTGTTACATCGTTTCAGATGTTATGTTTCAGTTGTGCTAAGCCATTAAAACAGTAAAAACACGTTCAGTTTCCTTTTGCTTTTTGTGTCTCCTGTACACCAAAACATACCCATCTGTGATGGAAAAAGAAAGTAATCCAAAAGTAATCTAAAAGTAATCTGAATACGTTACTTTTTTATGACACGTAACTGTAACTGTATTTGGATTACTTTCAGAGCCATGTATTCAGTAATCAGTAACTGATTACATTTACAAAGTAACCCTCCCAACCCTGCCCATAGGGGATGAAGAGGAGTAAGTAAATAAAGAGGCCGGCGCTCCAGGGTTTGGTTCTGCTGTGCGTTTTCGTGATGTAACGGTAAAAAATTGTAGAATTCCTCCACGGGATGCCATTGTCATTGTACATCACTCAAGGCAAAATACACACACTCAGTACATAGCTAGACCCACGAATTTGCGGGCCAGGAATTCGCGGGCACAGCTGTGTGCAGGGTTCCCACGGGGTCTTAAAAAGTCTTAATCTGAATTTAAGGCCTTAAAAAGGTCTTAAATATGACCCAAAAAAAAAGAAAGGTCTTAAATATGATTTAGAAGGTCTTAAAAATTATCGGATTTGAAAGGTACTTCTGTGTTGCGATCGCGTCTAAATGTGTTTTGGGGGAAATGTCCGGGCTGCAAAGTAACCAGTATGGGGAAGTGTAAGTTCAACCGTAACCAGTTGAGGGGAATGTGTTTGAAGCCAGCTGCACCTTTTGCAAAAGAAATTAGCCTTTGTTTTGCTAATGCAGCGTTAGCTAGTGCAGCGTTAGCTAGTGCAGCAGCTCCCGCAACAACACCGGGGGACCTCCGGGCGACGTTTGGGTCTACGTCAACCCTAAAAGCGGAGGTGCTGTAGACGCTAAATACCGTAGTTAAACACCAATCATACAACAGCAACGATGAAAGACTGTAGCCAAGGCAGCAGAGCTCTGAATATAGTGCTTGTCACACACACACACACACACACACACACACACACCACACCACACCACACCACACACACACACACACACACACCCACACCACACCACACCACACACACACACACACACACACACACACACACACACACACACACACACACACTAGGGCTGCTCGATTATGGCAAAAATCAAATAATTGATATCACGATTATTAAATACGATTATTAATTGACTTTGAAAACATCCATTTATTGAACTTTAAAACAAATAATAATTTGAACAGTATCTTTTTAACTGTTGATTACCCTGAGCGTATAATTCAACTGAAAAACCAATACAAAAATTAATTAAATAAATGATACATTTAAATAAATAATATCAAAATAATAAATACCAATAAACAAGATCAACAAATATTTTGGAGCGCACTTCCACAAGCTACTAAACATATATAAATATGATAAATAAAAATAAATTAGACTAAAATTAATTAGATCAAATATGTTGTAGTGCACTGTCACAACCTAGCAAAGCTAAATAATCGTTTTTTTAGATTATGTTGTTTTCGTAATTGTGGCAGGCCAAAATCGTAATTGCGATTAAAATACGATTAATTGCACAGCCCTAACACACACACACACAAGCACACACAGAGACACACTTTTTGTCTAACACGCTAACACAATTCTGTACTGTTATGCTGTTATGTATTGTTCAGTCATTGTTCTTATGTTGAACATGAATACATTTACTTTGTAAGTAATTATGGGACGTATTTCTTCTTTCATAGCAATTTTCCTTCATACATTCTTGCCGTGAAATAGGTCTTAAATTCTATTCAAAGTGGTCTTAAAAAGGTCTTAAAAAGTCTTAAATTTGAGTTGGCGAAACCTGCAGGCTGTGTGTGTGTGTGTGTGTATTTCGCGGTTTGCTAAATGTTTTGTGCGTGTGTGTTTATGTTGAGGTTTAATAACTGTGTGCTACACAAAACGTGCAGTCAGTTTCATTTTCATCGCCGTTCGTAGTAGAGTTAGCAGGGTATTTTTATTTTAACTCTCGTCCCAAATTCGTCCAAAAATTATTTTTTATAATCCCCGACCCTATTTTTTTCGGACGACGGGACGTCCTTAAGCTCAAGCCCTGCTCGGATCACTTTTTCATATCATTCTCTCTACTCCTTTCCAAACATAACAAACTAATCTCTTCTAATTCTGCACCTGTCCGCCGTAACCTTCATTCCCTCTCCCCCTCTACTCTTACCTCATCGGTGCTCTCAGCCCTCCCTTCGTCTAACTCGTTCCAACTCCTGCCTCCAAACTCTGCTGCAGAAACTCTCCTCTCTACTCTTTCATCCTCTCTGGACTCTCTCTGTCCTCTCACATCTCGGCAGTCTCGTCAGTCCCCTCCTGCTCCCTGGCTAAATGACTCACTGCGTGCTAATAGAACCATCCTTCGGGCAGCTGAGCGGAAATCCAAACACCCTGACGATCTCCTAACCTATCAAGCTCTCCTCTCCTCTCTCTCATCTTCGATTTCTCAGGCAAAAAGCACTTTCTTTCAAGATAAGATCCATTCTTCCTATTCCAATCCCAACAAACTATTTTCTATCTTCTCCACCCTCCTCGAACCCCCCAGAGCCCCTTCCCCCTCCTCCCTTCTTCCAAGCGACTTTGTTAACTACTTTGAAAAAAAGTTGATGATATTCGCTCTTCTTTTTCCGACTCACCATTACTCACCACTGGGTCACCAGTCCCACCGTTCACCCACACACTAGCCTCCTTTTCCCCTCTCTCTCCAAGTGAGGTTCTTACCCTCATTACCTCTGCCCGTCCTACCACCTGTCCTCTGGAACCTATCCCCTCAAACCGCCTTCAGTCTATCGCTCCTGATATTCTACCGTTTCTCACGCATTTCATCAATACTTCTCTAACTTCTGGTCACTTTACAAACAGTCTCAAGGAGGCAAGAGTAAACCCTCTCCTAAAGAAACCCACTCTCAACCCGTCCGATGTTATAAACTACAGGCTCAAGCTCAACCTTGACAAGACTGAACTGCTTTTTTTTCCGGGAAAATAGTGTCCCACCCTTGACCTAACAATCAACGGCCCATCGGCCCATCTGTTGTTTCCCCGACTCAGACTGCAAGGAATCTGGGTGTGACCCTAGATAACAACCTGTCCTTCACTGCAAACATCGCTGCTACAACCCGCTGCTGCAGATACACTCTTTACAACATCAGGAGGATACGTCCCCACCTGACCCAGAAAGCGACGCAACTTCTGGTCCAGGCTCTCGTCATCTTACACCTAGACTACTGCAACTCCCTCCTGGCTGGTCTACCTGCATGTGCCATCCGACCTCTGCAGCTCATCCAGAATGCAGCGGCTCGTCTGGTCTTCAACCTTCCAAAATGTTCCCACACCACACCGCTCCTCCGCTCCCTTCACTGGCTTCCAGTAACTGCTAGAATCCACTTCAAGACACTGGTACTTGCGTACAATTCTGTGAATGGATCTGGCCCTTCCTACATCCAGGACATGGTTAAACCATACATCCCAGCACGTGCACTCCGCTCGGCATCAGCCAAACGGCTCGCTGCACCCGCACTGCGAGGGGGACCCAAGTTCCCATCAGCAAAAACACGTCGGTTTGCTATCCTGGCTCCAAAATGGTGGAATGAGCTCCCCATTGACATCAGGACAGCAGAAAGCTTACACATCTTCCGGCGCAGACTAAAAACTCATCTCTTTCGACTCCACTTCGAGCAATACAATTACTAACAAAGCACTTATATACTAATAAAGGACTGGCTTATCTAAAGCCTGTTGAATAGCACCTGAAATGTTTTGGCTCTATGAAACCTGATGTACTTATATGATTCTGTTTTCTTCAAGTTTGTATCTTCTTGGTCGAATGCACTTATTGTAAGTCGCTTTGGATAAAAGCGTCAGCTAAATGCAATGTAATGTAATGTAATCAATAATTAGGATCCCAAAATATAACGTATATTATTCTGAAATGGGCCAATTTGTATAATGAGGACTTTTTGTACCTTAGGTATATTTGGATGCCGATAAATGTTTTGTTAAGTCATTTTTTATGCAGGACTCAAACTTCAACAGTATTTCTACACTGTGGTATTTTTATGTTTACTCAAGTACAAGATCCGACTCTCTTTATTGCCCTTGGTTGAAGTCATTTCATGAAAGCAGCCTCTGTGTCGGACAAAGACGAGTATGATATTATTAGTGTTAGGAACATACTAAGAATATATAAACTAACCTATAGCAGTATGTTCATTGAGCCTGTATAGGTACAGTGATACAGTATGCGTGGCTGAAGCAGCAAGCACAGTCTGTCAATTTGGGGTCATGAGAGGATTTCCCCACACTTACCCCAGGCTGTCTTCGTCGGGAGCCTTTGTCATGTCGTCTCCCCAGGCGCTCCCCCTCACGGCCCCAGTTCACTCCATCTTCCTGGAAGTAAGGCAGCTCCAGCAGCTCCTCACAGGACAGACGGAGTGACGGGTCCATCACCAGGCAGGACTGCTCACAGAGTGAACATAGAGGGTTGGTTTTCAAAATATTAGTTATTTCAAAGAAAATGAAGAAAAATGTGCCTTGAGATTATCAAGGCCTTCGATTGGACAAACTACAGTATGTAATGGCAACACTTGTTAAAATAAGCTCACACATAATAGCCTTAATTTTCTGTAGCACCATTTCTTGAATTATCTTTATTGATCCGAACATTTAAAATTGTTTGTTACAGGGCATTGCACGTGAGTTAAAAATATAATAAACAAAGAAATAAACACAAACCTGCATATCAACAGTCGAATTATATATAGAGAATCTATTGATCACAATATAAAATATACAGAATAAGTTAGGATACACTGTAATAAATCATCTTTAAACTGAAACAAAATATATAAACAGTATACAAAATAAATGGAAATGCTATGAAGTAGAGTTTGAGTACAATATGAAAGGGGAAAACTGGAGTGAAATCTGGTTAAAAAAGAAAACGATGTATTATATATGTATATAATAAAGAATACATACCTTCATAACTTGGAGGGCATAAAGAGACATGCCATGGAAGCGCTTTTCCAAAGGCTCCTAATAGCAGAAATAAATGGAAAATGATGACGTCAAGAACCCTTGGCCTCCCCAATAATAACATGTGCATTCTCAATGGTAACAGGATTCGTACCGTCGTGTCAGGTTCAGGAATACTGACTCCGCTGAAGAAAACATTGGAGCGGAAGACCTGCTGGTGCCGGGGGATCAGGTCACCTGAGGTCAGAAAGGAGATCAACAAAATCATCAACCAGTACCATTTATTTTATTCTGTGTGTCCATTTCTGGGAGTAAATGGTTAACTAAGCTGAACAGACTTTTCAAAAATGTTTAACCAAGATCTATGCCGGTTAAACAAACCATGTAGAACAAAGTCCACTGAAGAAAAGCCAAGTTTCCTTGTGAGGTTCCCTTAAGGAACAGTTCAACCCCAAATCAAAAATACATACTGTTCCACTTACCTGTCTTATTTATCAATGTAGATTGTTTTGCTGTGTGCTGCAGAGTGTTGGAAATATAGAGTGGTGCAGTGATGACGTATTTATATTAAACCAGACTCGAAAGTGAGCATCGCAACGGGCTCCCTCGACAAAAAGCAAAGAGTATTCCCCATTGCATTTTGGTTTGTTGCAGAAAATAAGCTTTGTGGCCAACACAGGTTTATGATACTTAACACGTTCTGTTCAGCAGAATAATCCTCATATTAACACCCCTTTGGGATTTTTGAAGCATCAATGCGATTGGCATATATAAAAAGCTAACATTAGGCAATAAACAAACTACATCACAGTTGCATGGCTGCGAATCACCACCGCTAAGCTAAAGGGGGACTTATGTCGGGGTGATGACGTTTAGTAGATTCATTTAGTCACTTGTCAGCAACCGCCATTTTAAAGACACATAACATCTTTGGACATTCACAAGTGGGGTATTTTACTGGCGTATTTTATGTCGTTAAACAAAACGTACACATCTCTTCAGCTCGTGTTAACCACAGACCTTATTTCAGGCTTCTAACCACAAACACGTTCAATAAACTGTTGACTTTGAGATGAGGAAACCGGAAGAGGTTAAATGCTAAGTCTTTTCCTGGTTTCAGGACTAATGACTGCACCACTCTATTGGCCTTAAATGTGTGACTTCTCTCCAATATAATGAAAGTATATGTACTGTAACTATACGCGGTGCTTACATCGCCCAAAAAACACACTTTGACCCAAATACTAAATATAGTCCACAGACCTGTTGTGAGCAGTTTAATGTAGAAAGCATTTTCTTGTCAACCTGTCTCTCTCCTTATGTGCAGTGAGACAGTTGGCAGGTATCTCACACCAAGGTCTGAGGGTTATCTTTCTGGAAAGAGACATTGCTCTTCTTACATTATAGTTCATTTTAGTTCACACAACCTTTGATGTATTTGCCTGTTTGACTAAGCTTATACTGGTGTGAAAGCTATTGTATTAATGATCAATCAACTTGACCAAGACTGCTCCAAAAGGTAGATATCTTTGTTTGTGGTGTAAAAGCAAGACAAATCCATCATTAACTGTTGAATTATCTCGGATTTCTTCATCAACTTAAGAACTGAACTACCCTTAAATCCATTTACTAATCGTATTAACTGTCAATTAATGAATGTCTGAATAAACACATGTTGAGTTTGGCACCCAAAAGCAGATTATTCCTGCTAAGAACCCATTTACGTGGCCCCTCAGTATACCTAGAGTTTTTCGGATAAGGTAGAGCTGGTCAACATCAGACTTCCCGGGCCAGAGTGGATTCCCATTGAGGAGCTCAGCGAAAACGCAGCCGAGGGCCCACATGTCCACAGGGGGCCCGTACTGAGTGTCCCCGACCAGCAGCTCAGGGGCCCGGTACCAGCGAGTCGCCACGTAGTCTGTGTAGTCGTCCTCTGGTCCTGCTGAGTAGGCGGATAGAGATAACTTGTATATACACACATACACTTAGAATAATGAATACTAAATAGGGTACATTGTTGAGGAGGGGATTACAAGGCATGTTGAATGAGTACATGTTAATGTATGGTAACACAACCCAGAAACCTAATGCACGAAGGGTAAACAGAGACACCCTACACAGAGACGCACTAACTGCCTGAACGGTCCCCCTATGCAAAGCATTCATTGAAAACATTGAAAGTGAGGAGGCCGTCGGCAGGAGGATGATTCCGGTTTCTTGTTGAATAAGTCATTAGAGGTAGACGCTAAATGCACATAAATGCACTCGCTTTCTGGATGACCTACTCAGAATGCGGGCGAAACCGAAGTCGCAGAGCTTGATGACTCCGGTTTTGGTGAGGAGGATGTTCTCTGGCTTCACATCACGGTGGATACACTGCAACATAAACACTCAGTATCAAGGATTTGGCAACGTGATACACAGTCTCTTAGTGACATAGGAAGAGGCGGATATTAAGGCTGAGGGATTAGGAATGGAGGAACAATGGCAAGAGATCAGACACCAAATATTGAAACTGAATACCGCATTGCAGTCACTGAGACTTAAATGACTCCTGATGGGGAGTAGAAGGCAAAGTTTGAGTTCCGGAATTATTCTTAACTGTAGTGAGAAAAGAGTGGTGCAGTGAGTCCTAAAACCTAAAAGACTTAGCATTTGCCGCTTCTTGTCCCCATGCACGAAGTCAATGGTTTTTAAACGTGTTTTATGGTGAAATAAGGTACGTGGAGAAGAGATTTTTCACGTTTTGTTTGAAGACATAAAACACGCCAGTAGATACTCAACTCTGTAATGTCCGAAGCATCTATGTGTCATAACAATAGCTAACAAGTGGCTAAATGAGAATACTAAATGTCATAACGCCGACATGATTCCGCCTTTAGCTTAGTGGTGGTGAGGCGCAGCCATTACGTTAGATTTTTATTTCTGCATTTACGCTTCAAAACAAAATGGTGTTAATATGTGGAGATTGTCCTGCTGAACAAAACTTTGTTGGTATCATAAATGTGTGATGCTAAATTCCAGGTCCAGCCTACAAAAATATATCAACACTGCACCGCTCTATTATTTAAGTAGGAGTAGTTCTGTGGTTTGTGATGGTGCACATTTCTTGTTTAATGCAATCCTTCTCAGTATCCAAACCACTGTCTACAGGTGCCTGATGGACAGCTTCATTGACACATTTTCCAGGAAAAGGTGTTGAAAAACTGAGCTATTCAAATAAGATGGTTTGCCAGATTCTGGGAATTAGTATAATATATTCCCATCAATGCTATGAGCAGCAACAGTGATACAATTATTGTGTATACTGTATGATGCTCATGTAACTAGAATTCAATGTTGGAATAAGGGTTCAACTGAATATTAGAGCAAAAAACTGTATTTTATCAAATGTTTCATATGAAATAATATAGTAAACTGTAAAACACATACAAATGTAAGGATAGTTATATATGTGTTCAAGTTTATCTTAAAAAAATAATCAGCTGCCATATGTACACTGTAAAATATAGTGGAAAAAATACACAGTTTAAATTGAGTAAATACAAAATCTTTCTTAAACCACTTTGAGCTTTTATATGGCTGTGGATTTAGCCCCCCCATCTCTTTACATGTTGTCACAGTAGGAGAGGGAAAATATTACAGAAACATGTAACTTTAAAATACTGTAGATATGGCTTAAAGTATTTTTCTAATGCAGCCTTACAAACTCTTAATATATCCTTTTAGACGAGTGTGGAAAATCTAAGAATAAACACATGAAAATGACCAAAGAAAAACATTATATTAGCAGTTGAAATATACTGACATTGTGCTTGTGGCAGAAGTTGACCGCCTGCAGAGTCTGCCACACGATGCTCTTCAGCTGAGCCTCTGGAACCCTGCAGAGGACCAGAGACAAACAAAACCTATTTACCAGTCATGATTTCCTTGTCTATTATAAAATAAAATACAAGAAGTGTGGCTTTACGCACCCTCTTGTCACCCGGGTAACCTTAGGCCTGTCTCTAACGGCAACAGCGCCTTTGTTTTCAGGAGCAGCTAGAGTTTCTGCTGCACTGCCTTGTGAGAAGGGAATGGTCCGACAGCCACTAACCATTTGTCTTGCTGTGTGACTTCACATGACTAAACTAAACATGATAATCCCTAAAAAAGAAGGCCCACATATACAAACTATATAGATACTCCAATGAAACTGAAAGTCCTGCATTGGAATTGTACATAATGTAGAAGGAAGTATCATCAGCATAGTGTAAAACATATCTAAAGTAAAAGTTCTAATGTTAAAACTTTTAGTGTTACATTTATATACTGAACAAGAGAATTGATGATAATCACTGATGCGTTAATAAGTAGGCAGCACTTTAACATTGTAGCGGGTCAAGAGCTTATTTTAACCAATTTATATACATCGGAGTTGTTTTAACTTGTAGAAATTGCTAAATTATCTAAGATGTAGTGAAGTAGAAAGTAGCATAAAGGGAAGTACATGACTAAAGTACAAATGCCTCAAAACTGAAGTACAGGACTTAGATGTACCTTCCACCACTGCACATCATGGTGAATTCTTAGGCTGCCTTTACACGGGAACGTTTGCGTTTATGCACAGTATGCGTTTTCAAAAAAGTATTCCGTTCACATGCATTCGTTTCATTTAACGTGTCTGTTCACACGAGACCGCTGGAAACGCTGTAGTACATATGCCGGGACTGTAAGTGGCGCTGTACTTCCACACAAGACAGCTCGAAAGCGCTGGACACGCTGTAGTACATATGCCGGGACTGTAAGTGGCGCTGTAACTTCCGCCACAAAATACACCAAAAGCAGCGAAGAAGACCCCGGAGCATGGTTGCCATGGCTGCCCTTCTGTTTATGCCCCGCGGTGGATTAATGTAGTAGTCCATGTAATTCTCCATGTCCACTTGTTGCTGATGGTTGTGGTAGAGGAGCTGTAGATTTTGCACTAACATCTGTAGCATGGTCAGTAGCAGTAGCACTAGCAGTAGCTACTGACAGTAGCTACTGACCATGCTACAGCAGTGAGCAGCAGAGGTGGGGAGAGGCGGGGCTATGGCTTCATCTATCGGGAAATGATCGTATAGAGGCGATTACACGGAGCTGTTTGACCCCCCAGAGCGTTCCGTTTGCAAATCTATCCACCTTGGGACACGTTATCGTTTGTGGGGTCTGTTTCTATCGTTTTGTTACGGCCTCGTGTAAATAAAAGGGCTATACGCAAGAGAAACTATGCGGATACAACCCGTTTCGTTCTCGTGTAAAGGGGGTCTTAGAGGGGTGCGAACGAAATTGATAACAGATACACTTCTATAAAGATTAAAGTGGATGAGTATCTTCAGCGTTCCAAGTATGCAGCTCTTCAGATTCCTCCACAACTCACTGATCAGACACAGAGGAACTCACAGACATGGCCGACGTGTTTCCCTTACCCTCGAGGGTGTTTGTCCAGCTCGTTGAGGACTGTCTGCTCGCAGAACTCGAACACCAAGTGGAGCCGTCTTTTCCTCCTGAACACCTCCAGCAGGTTGACCAGATTCACGTGTTTCAGCTGCTGCAGGACCAACAGATAACAAGGACACTGTGTCAGAACTCACCATCATACTGAACAAAATACAACCTATTAAGGATCTTGAGTCTGGCCAACTCTGTTCATTTTTAAAATGTTATATCAGAATTGCCTCCAAATTTTGTGTGCACTCTTTGTTTAATTCAGTGTCTTAAAGCTTGTTTCCCATCCCTTTAAAGTTGAAATGTCTGTATCGCTCTTTGAAACAACAAGTATACATTATGTGTGTCTAATACCTGTGTCGGACACATTCCTTACAATAGTGGCTTAGTATCATATAACCTAAAGAGTGCATATGAACCGGTGTGCGTGCAAGTGTCAACGTGTGGTTTTAAATGTAAGCCAACTTGATACTATTGGGTGTTACTAATCTCCTGTCACCTTCAGCATGCGGATTTCTCGCAGTGCAATCTTCTTAATGACAGGATCATCTTCGGATTCCACAAACTTCTTGATGGCAACTATCTGGCCCGTGTCTCTGTGTCTGCATTTGAACACCACGCCGTAGGAACCCTCGCCGATTTTGGCCAGCTTTTCATATTTCTCCATTTTCTAGTCACCTGTCAAAAAATGTAACATTTATCACAAGCTCAGCACCTCATTGAGATGTAAAAGATTCTCCTTAAAATATCAAAGACACCTAAGACATATTTTTTAAGCACTGGTCTATTTTGATAGTTTGGGCTTATTTGATCCATTTGTGTCAGATTTCTCCTAAATATCTTCAGTCAGTCAACAAAGTGAAAAACTATTTTTTAAACTGGCTTTATCGAATGTTTGGATTTATATCACATTAGCACGTATTTATAAGAAAACAATTAATGAATCTAGTAATTTATTTGTTATGATTAAAATGGTAACAAAAAGCATAGAATAGAAATGCAAATTATTTCATTTCTCAGGGTATACATTTAACATCATGTAGGGCTGAAATAATAATACAGTACCAGAAAATGAAAAGCAAGAGTAAAAAATAAATGTCTGGTTTTATTCTAGAAATGCAAATGATTGGATAGCTGAACTAATTAAAGTCAATTGGTGGTTGGTATAACTTTTTATAATCTGTTAGTCAAATATTCCTTAACTTTGATTTGGATTGTTGATCATAAACAATACTTGAGAGATTCGGACTCAGCCAATTCCATAATTAAACACCGATTATCGATGAATTGTGTGACTTAATGGTTGTTCTTTCTACCCATTTGACAGAAGTTGGGAGAAGTAGTCATACTGAAGTAAAAGTAGAAGTACTAGAGTGTAGGAATACTCTGTTACAAGTAAAAGTCCTACATTCAAAATGTTACTAAAATCACACAAGTATTATCATCAAAATATACTTAAAGTACCAAAAGTAAAATAAGTCATTGTGCAGATTGGTCCATTTCAGAATACTATATATGTTTTATAATGATTGATCATTAAAGTGTTATCAAAGCTGGTAAAGGTGCAGCTAGTTTGAATGACTTTGTATACTGCAGGGTAGCTTGTGAATTTACTCCAGGTGTAACTAAAGTCTGATTTAAGAGTAGATCATACTGTTTATCATCAATCTAAATCTGCAAAGTAGGCTAACTAAAGGTACTGCATAGGCTAAATGTAGTGAAGTAACATTACAATATTTACCTCTGAATTGTAGTGGAATAGAAGTACAAAGTAGTAACATTCTACTGAAGTACAGTACTTGAGTAAATGTACTTAGTTACTTAAGCCCACTGATATTACCCCAGTCCTGAATATGTGTGTTGTTGTAGACTAACACAACTCATGATGCCGACCCTAAACCGCCGTCAGTGTCCCACTCACCTGTCCGCAGTGAACTCGCCACCCGCCGTCAGTCTGCGGAGGGTCCGTCCGTCAACAGTCCGTCAACAGTCAACAGTCCGTCAACAGTCCGTCAACAAACAGTCCGTCAACAGTCCGCAGAGATACATGTAGGCTATGTCGTCATAAGGTGAGTTTGATTTATGATAGCAGTAAGAAGGATGTCAGAGGTCTCTGTCTGTTAATACTATACCCCCCCCTCCTCTATCCTCCTGCCCTGTGCGTCGTCATTACCATGGTAACCCTCTTTGTTATAATGTTCCCTCAGCACTCACTCTTCATTTTCAGTCTATTTTCACATTACCACGACGCCTCGTCATTGATAATTAATAACTAAGCATGAGGAAGTTTGACTTACCCCTGAGAACTGCGCACAAACACATCGTTACGGGATTCACAAAGAAGCCTAGGTTAAAACACTCACGTGGGTACACATTCGTTGTAACCAAGGAGACAGGTGGCCGACAGGTGACCGGAAGCAGCGTTAAGCACGACTCCTGACTTTTCCGTGTGTTTTATTTTTATTTTGTTTTTAAGATATATCTGTTGTAATTTATTGTCGTTTATTGTGATTTGTAGTAATGTGTTTTTATTACATGTACAGCACTTTGGCTCGACCAAAAATCGCTTTTAAATGTGCTATATAAATAAAACCTGAGTTAACCGTCACACGGCCTACTAATGACTGATTATCTAACAATGCTTTGGTTTATTGTGTATTCAGTTTATTATTTAAAATCAGGTAGTAGGCTATTAAACCGCTCCCCACGTTGTCTGGTATTTAGGAACAAACCTAACACAGTAGGTCCATTTCCATTGTTTTATTCTTAGCTTTAAAGTTAGTATATTTTTATAACGTTAGTATTCACTTCAGTAATACTTACGTTAAGATACTACACTGTAAAAATACTCTGTTGCAAATAAAAGTTTAATCAGGAAAATGTATTAAAAGTATTGGGAGTAAAAGTACTCATCGCAGAGAAAAAACCCTCTAAAATATTAAAAAGAGATAGATATGTAAATTAAAAAAGCATAAAATCTTCACAATTGAGAAGCTGGAACTATGAAATGTTTTACATCAAAAAATGCTTAAACAATTAGCTAAATTGCTTCCAATTAATGTTGTGTCTCCCCAACATTGTTTTAGGCACTTAATGGATCATCTGATCTATAAAAAGATCATATTTTTTCATGTTTAATAATCTTTATCCATAGTAAAATGTAATAAACTAAAGCTGTTGAATACATTTAGTGAAGTAAAAAAGCACAATATTTTCCTTTGAACTGTAGTGGGGTAGAAGTATAAAGTGCCACAGAAAGAATATTCTCAAGTAAAGTACAAGTACCTCAAAATGTGTACTTTAGTGCAGTACTTGAGTAAGTACTTTCCAGCACTGTTGGAATTTATTTAGCAGTTATACTAACATAAAAGATGTAGAATTATACATCCAATATATATAAACTCTACAATAAAATACTCAACAGCACAAATGCAATACTATGCAATAATAATATAATTATCGGCTATATGCTAAAGTTACATTGACAACACCCATTCAATGCGTCACAAGTACTTTACTGAGGACATCTCTGTACTTTAACTTGCATGTTGTTTCTTGCTATTTGCTTTTGAGCCGCTGATCCATACCATTTACATCTGATGCTGTTACCTGGAACCTGTAAGCCTATACAGTATTCCTTGAAATAAATCAGTAAATATATCCTGTCTGACTCAATGTTTGAGTTGTTATCCAAAGTTCTTGAGCATCACTCCACTGCAAAATCATCTCAGCAGTTTCAAAGCTGCAGCATCATGTCACTTTGCCACCAATACGATATGTGTGCAGGAACAACTCTGATGTGGTAGCATGATTTATAGACTGTTCTGTTCTCTCTCTCTCTCACCGTCCAGCATTTGCAAGTGCTCAGAGACTTTTTGCATTGCATCCCTACCTTTAAGTACAATTTACTTTTAAAAGTATTTAAATTTGTTGTACTTCTACCCCATTACAAACATAGCTACATTGTGTATTTTTAATCCACTACATTTATTTAATACCTTTAGTTACTTTACAGATCTGGATGAATGATGTGAAATATAATCAACTCTTAAATCAGACTTTAGTTCCACCTGGAGTAAATTCACAAGCTACCCTGCAGTGCAGTATACAAAGTCATTAACACTAGCTGCACCTTTACCAGCTTTGATAACACTTTAATGCATCAAGTTCAAATTGTTTTTTTGTCATGACATATACACAACTACGGTGTAATTTTGTAATGTTTGAAATACTTAGATTGCAGGTTGTCAACATTGCAATTTTACAAGATATAAAACAAAATATATAAAACAACTACATTCAAAATAAAAATAGTGCAAGCTCAGCCGTTTAATAGTCTTATGGCCTGTGGGATGAAACTGTCCCTGAGTCTGGTGGTTTTATTCCTGATGCTGCGGTACCGCCTGCCAGACGGAAGAGTTATCGATAATCAAAACATATAATATATGTTTTTCTGAAATGGGGTGATTTGCATAATGACTTTTACTTTCAGTACTTTATGTTTATTTTGATGCTAATACCTATGTACTTTTACTTGAGTAAGATTTTAAATTCAGGACTTTTACTTGTAACAGAGTATTCCTACACTCTGATACCTCTACTTTTACCTGATTACAAGATCTGAGTACTACTTCCACCTCTGGACACAGCTCTATGGGATCCTTGGCAGAGACGCATTTAGGACTTCACAGGGAAAAGAATAGATCATGTTGCTCAGAAAAGACAGACAGACACCTTGAGGTGCTGGCGTCGACGCTCTGTGGTGGAAGGTATGAAATGCCCCATGACAGACTGGTAAGACGTGCTGGTAGGGAGGTGGTTGTGTTCAGAGGTCCATGAAGTAAGTTGGAAGAGAGAGAAGGTGAAACAAATCATAAAAGGATTTTTGGACCTTTGGACTAATTTGCACAACAAGAACTCATGTGTTGCTGGAGATGCATTTAGTTCAGTTGTCACTGTTAGAACTGCTTTATAGTGTCCTTACTGATAGTGCCTAAACATCCTGACCTTTACCACAGGATGCAGCTGTGGTTATAAGAGGAAATGCTCATTATCTTCAGTTCCCATATATGCAGTGGTGGATAGTACATTTACTCAATTATTGTGCTTTATTTTGACTTTACATAACATTTAATGCTGCTTTATACTTATAATTCACTAAATTTCAGAGGGGAATATCATACGTTTTACTCCACTAAATGTATTTGAACACTCACAGTAACTAGTTACTTTGTACACAAAATAACACATACGCATTTACTACTAATCTATACAGTATCTACATTTGGTCCAAATTGACAAACTACAATACTTAAATGCTCTTATATGTATCACAATAAAGTACTGATCTACTCTGAATAACAAGTATTTTCACTTTTGATACTTGAAGTACATTTAGCTAAATATTCTTTTACTTTTTGTATTTTAAGTACAGTTTGATGCTAATACTTTTGTTCTTTTACTGAAGTAGAATTTTGAAATCAGAACTTTTACTTGTAGTAGAATATTTGAAGACCATAGTATTCATACTTTTACTTAAGTAAAGCATCTGAGTATTTCTTCCAACACTGTATCGATGGGATGTCAATGTAACCAAAGAAAGATGATCATGTGGCAAGTGATACACGGTGATCTGTAAATATTTACTTCTGTTGAGATCCTTCTCTACCTCAATTCACTACTGGTGATGGTTTTATATATTTACAGTGCACACTAAAATGGGTGCATCGTAAAAAAAATGGAGGTAATTCAGGTAGATGGCAGAGATGTTACCTATGTTTGTCCACCAGGGGGCGGTGCACACCCATCAAAGCTCCCACACACCAACACAAGCAACAGTTGTTGACAGCAGATAGCCTCACTCATATTATCCTCCCACTCTTATCATTAATGGTAATCAGAGATGTGTATTTGTTGACGCAGTCTGTAGCAAATTGTCAATAGTACCTTTGTTTGAGCAATCGTTATTTCCTGTTGTTATAATTGCTGGTATTTTAGGGGGTTTCTGCTTGAGTTTCCCCATGTTAAACGTCATGTTTATTACCAGTGTTTGATGAACAGCTCTTTCCTTGTAACCGTCCGACAGAGTGGAAGACAATAAACAACCGTGGAAAATCCAGTTTGGGCACAACCTTAAATAGACCAACAACTGAACTGTTGGCAACATACACTGAAACGTTGACTTTAATAAAAATGTATTATGTCAACAGATTTCTCAAAACTGTATTAGGTTAGTTGAAAGCATAATACATTTAATTAAAGTCAACGGTTCAGTTTTTTCAGTGTACTATCTTTACTTCCTTGATGAATCATCCCTCAGACAGAGACAACAATGATTGAAACCATCACTGGTTTGTTTTAATTTAGCCTTTCTTTTGAAAATACACAATTGTACCTTTAAAAAGCGCTCAGACGTAGGTCAGTGCACCACACGGCCCAGCCCTGTTGGCTCTCCATCCATTCAAAACCACCCTTCTACTTTTAGACATGCCGGGCCCAGTTCTTTGGCCTGGCAGGCGTTCACCTTCACAGCCACCAGGTAAATGTGGTTGGCGGCAAACCAGTGTCATACAGGGACCTAGATGTGGAAAAAGTACTCAGATCTTCTACTAAGTCAAAGTAGAAGTACCAGAGTGTGGGAATACTCTGTTAATAATACAGTACTAGAAATTGAAAAGAAAGAGTAAAGAAATGTCGATTTTATATTCTAGAAATACATATTATTGGTTAGCTGAACTAATAAAAGTCAATAGTTGAATCAGTGGTAGACATAATTTCGTATAATATGTTAGTAAAATATTCCTGAACTTAAATTTGAATGGTTGATAATAAATACTACATGAGAGATTTGGGTTCAGTTTCTTTGCATTTACTACAGGTCTAGTCTAATTTAAGTGTTGATTATACAGTATTTCATATTATTAATCCAAATCTGTAGGCCTATGTAGTGGAGTAAAAAGTACACGCTTCACCTCTGGGGGGTAGATGTACAGGAAGTGCAATACTTGAGTATATTTACTTAACAACTTTACACCACTGACCATGGCTAAGCTAAAGGCTGCTAATGGTCGGCGTGATGACGTTTAGCAGTCTTATTTGGTCACTTTTTTAGCAACCTCTGACACAAACAAGCTTCGAACATTTACTTAAGAGTAGTTGAGTAAATGTACTTAGTTACTTTACACCACTGCAGAGCCCTTTGACATGTAGAAAGCAGATAGTGTGAGAGCTC